ATGCCTCTGTTTTCGACTTCTAACACTTTCTTAATCAGTTTAGCCTGGTGCTAATTGATTAAGGTTTTTCTATCTTGCTTTAACCCAATGCCCAGTCATGCCTTAACTAGTACTAAAGTTTTGTCTTCACTAATTACTTTCTTCTTTCTTTCCTTAACTGATTAACTCTTCTTTAATTTTAATAAGCATCTTGACTTGCCTTTAATTAACAGATTTGTTAAGGGAACTAAACTATATCTTACACACTTAAATAATAAAGTTAGACATTAATGAATCATAAAAAACATATAGAGTCAACACAATCCTCTTATGAATCAAACTACAAGCATTTTATGAAATAGGTTCTTGTTAAAAGCAATATAGCAAAGAAAAGCAATGATAAAATAAAGACAACAGGTAAAAATCAAAACTTCTTCAAATTTTCTACTTGTGTTAAAATAAAGCAAATGATTTTTCTAAAATTGAGTTTCAACAATAAATGACAGCATAATAGTAAATCAAAAAACAAAGATTTATAGTAGTTCAGCTCTTCAAGCTTTTACATCTACTCCCTTGGTTCACTAAGGTATTTCCAATCCACTAAAAAGATTCTTGCTTTTTAACAAAAATTGATATCCCTCATATAATCCACAAAAGAGATTCTTGCATTTTGATGAGAAGCAATAACCTTTACACAATCCATAAAAGGATTTTTTTCTTTTTCACAAGATTAAGTGATAATCTTTACAATAGCTTTTTATGGAATCAAGTGAGAACTTATGGTTTTTAACAAGTTCACCACAAGCCTATCGTCTTAAATGGGCTCACCATAAACTCACACTAACTTTTCAAGGATTAGTTAAAACCTTTGCAAGAAATAGTAAGTGTGTGTCTAAAAGGTGGATTTTGCTAGTTTGGTACAATGGAGGAAGAATGCCTAACATTGGATAAAAAGATAAGATGTAAAGATGGGAGTGACAGCACAAAGAAATTTTAGGTCAAAAAGGCTTCATTTCTCTCATTTTCTTTCAAGACTTTGATCCTCAAGAGTTTAGCTTTTTTCTTTCTTTTCCTTCACTTTGAAATGCTCCAAATGGTCTTTTTTATAGTTAAAGATGTCTTGGAGCCGTTGGAGATGATTAGAGTAAGAAACTAGCTATTTTTCTTTTGAATTTTGTGTTTAACAGTCACTTGTAGTCGACTATGGAATTTCTATAGTTGATCGTCCCAGAAAGCTTGTATTTTTCTCATCAGAGCATGAAAGGTTGACTGGCACTATTCCAAGGTCTACTATAAGCTTTATGGGGTCCACTATGGCTATCTCTTTTTAAGTGTCTTTGTTCGTTCTTGCTTGTTCTTCCATAGGATCGACTTGGCTTGCTCTTAAAATCAATTAGAGCTTTGTTTCTTCAAGATTCCTTGACATTTTAGCATGTAACTTTGGCGATATCTTCCTTGTGATCAAATGTTGAGTGATGACTAAATTTCTTGACGTGAAGCAAACTTGGTGTAGTGTAGATTAATGATCTTCGAATGCTTTGAGATAAACTTCACCATTTAAGAACTTATTTTGAAACTTTAACATCTCAAAGGTCAATGTTAGAGGGATCATAAATGGAACTCTTTTAAGCAAATTTAACATTCATACAATTAAGTCATTCAAGCTTGTAGACATTCATAGAACAAGTGTATGATAATTCAATAGCTTCAAGAATTCACACAACTAAAACAATCAAGTTTATAATTGTTGTCGATTTTGCACACGTAAGTATACATGTCGAACAAGTAATATAGACAATAAGTCCATATTATCATTCCCACAATGATTTGTTTCTAAAGTTCACAAGTACTAAAATTATATGACAAATTAATCTTATTTAAGCTAACCAAAAATTGAAAAGCTAATCAAAGACAAAACTAAAAATGAATAATAGATTAACAAGCAAAAACTAAATATGTTGAGAAAAGTAGTAGATTAAAGACCTATGATCATGGGTTCATTTAACTTTTATCTAATACCGACTTTTTTTGTTATATATTTTTTCTATGTGATTTTACTAACCTAGAATTCAAAACTATGGATAAGTCTTTGTCGAGATGCTTGTACAAATATATAACTTAATTAGTTAACTATATATCTATAGGAATTAATTAAATTAGGTTCATTAAGCAAGTGTCCTAATTTGGCTATGTATGGAAATTGGCAAATGTCGACCTGAATCATAAATCAAACCACCTAAGTGATGTAAACATACACTATTCAAATCTTAATCCACCTTAAAATCTCTCTATCGAGTTTCAATTAGATTCACAAATCAATCAATTATTGATCAAGCAATTAAAAGTATTAAGAACAAATTTGAATAAGGAAAACAATACCCATTCATGATAAATAACAAAAAACCAATATTCAAACTACATGTTGAAATCTACCATAATCCTAAATAATCAAATTAGTTCATAATATCTAAATAAAACACTATCCAAAGAAATTTAGCCATGAATTCAAAACAAGAAAATAAGAATAACACAAAAGGAAAGAAATAAACTAATTTTGAAGCTTGGTTGATTGCGAATCTCTCTCAATTGCTCTTGAATTCTTGATTGATTCATTGCTCCAATTATCTAGAAAAGTTGGTACCATCTCCCCTTTTGAATGCTCTCAAAAAGTTTCTTAAATATGTGCAAGATGCCTTACTTTCCAATTTCTTGTTAGACTTTTTAATTTTGAAAACCGAGGTGGTGCCAGGGCCCAGTGACAAGCTTTGGTAACACCGTTGGGATCCTTTTATGGGGTCGTGCTCTCGGCCTTTAGTATGATGCACCAATCTAGCCCAACGCTATGGCCACAAGCTTCCAAGGCTACCATGGTGGTCCCTTTAGTGCCATGGGCTTGAGTGACTTAGCGTCATGGTCTCAATAATCACGTTGCCTTGTGTGTAGTTTGCATCTGTCTATCATTTTCAAATGTGATTTTCACCTTTATCTGTTCCAAACTGGATAAAGTGGTAAATATAAAAATTGTATCCAATTCTCTTAGCTTTCCGATGAATCAAAAATCACATCAATAGGATTTCTTCAGCTTAAGTTATCTTTAAATTACTGTAGTATGTATGAGTGACACCTTCACCATACTTGTGCTATCATAACTCAATTTCATCTTGCCCATCACATATCCTGCACATAACCATGAAAGAAATCAACATTAACTCTTCTTAAAGTAATTTAAACCAGAATAAAGTAAAATTAAACTAAAACAACTTAATTTAACTATTCAACATGTAATCTAACTTAACTTAGAAAAACACCTAAAATGCTAAAATCTGAACCCAAAACTCAAAGGTCTAGCTACTAACGTCCCCAAAATGTGTTAAAAATAATTCCATATAACAGAGTTATTAGTAATCATGTAAGAAAAAATGTATGAAAGCTAAATCATTTTAAAGACTTGTCAAGAATCACTAAAAAATATTCAAGTAAATTAGGATCATTTTGTCACAATCAAAACTATAATCATTTTAAAGCTAACATGATCCTTCTTAAATCTTCCAAATGGATTTTAAATTTCAAGAGCTACCCTTAAAAATATTTTTAAATGCTATTCATCTCCCTCTAACACTCATTTTGAGACCAACATGAAGTGCCTAAAATCAAATTTGAATTTTCAACTTGGTGTCAAATTTTCAAGAAGAATCGACACCAAGAGCAACATGTCGATTCTAAGAAAAGATAGAAAAGTGTAGATCTAAATGACAACTTGAAGAATCGACACTAAGGGAAGAACATGTCGATTCTTAAGAAAATAGAAAGGTGTGGATTTTTCAGAAATATAAAGAATTTACACCTTAGGTAGAACATGTCGATTCTACATACATGATAAAAATGAGACAACTGGCATAGACTACGAAAATCTTTTTTGAATTTTACTCCAACAGGCAAAAAACTTCCGTGATTATAAATACTTTTTTGAGAGACATTAAAAAGAGAAGAAAAAGGAAGAGAAGAAGAGGAAAACAAGTGAAAGATCATTCCTTTGGGAGTAAAGATTGCTAAAACTAGAAAAAGCGTAAAGTTCCTTCCTTTCTGGAGAGAAATTAAGAAGAAAAACTAGAAAGTTTATTCCTTTCCTAACCTTTGCAACTTTCTAAGGTAAGATATTATTTCATTAGTTTTTATTTCTTAGAAAGTTCTCATCTTTTTTGTGCCTAATAGCCCATCCACCTTGTTAAAGGTCAAAAAGTTGAAATCTTTGTAATCCACTATTATATTTGGTTATACCTCCACGAAAAGGTAGTATCGATTATACCTACATTGGAAAAGGTAAAAAGGTTTTGCTTTAACCTTGAAAAGGTAAAAACTTTATAAAACATTATGTTTTAACCTTGAAAAGGCAGACTTTGTGAAAGGTTATTGTTTAACCTTGAAAACGCAGAGGTTTTGTGAAAGGTTGTGCTTTAATTTTGAAAAAACAGTGACTTTGTGAGGTTATGCTTGTTTCTCTTGAAAAAGAAGTGTTTGTGTGAAAGTTATACCTATTCCTTGAAAGGCAATTTATTAGTGAATTCAAGCTCTTTGTGCTATCAAGGGAAAAGACATAAAGAGGTAAGGCCGAACCTCTACAAAAATCTAAATAAGTACTTTTTGATTTTCTGTGCATTTATTTTCATCTCAAACTCTATTTTTGTTTCCACTGTAATTTTTTTAAATATTCTTACTACTTTTTTTAAACAGGGATTTTCAATTAATAATCAATTCACTCCTTGGTTATTTTGCCATAAACCTATTTCATCTAACATTTACTTTTTCAAAAATATAATTATCTTTTTTTGCTTTTAATTTCTAGGAATTTAAGAAAGCAAATAACTAAAAATAAGTTGTAAAAATAATAACAAAAGAAGCATATTATTATTATTTTATTTTTCTTATAACTGTTTTGGTACAAGTAAAAACGTTGGAATTAAGATCCCAAAGTGCAATTGTCATTATTATTATTATTATTATTTAAATGAAAGACATTCAAAAAGGTAAAAGAATTGACAGCAGGAGCAGCTTGGTGTTAGTTCAGCGGCGTGCATGGATAGTGTCGCCCATAAATTCTTAAAATAATTCCAAATTCTCCATGGTTTTCACTCACAACTGCTACAAGAGAGATGCTCCAGAATTTGGCTTTTCCTGCGCACGTTGTCTTTCCCGGCTCACGTGCCGATGCAACTTTTCTCAATCTTCGCCGTCCACCTCTATTCCTTCCGTTTTCTCCGCTGCGTGTCCCGTCGCTCTCCACCGCAAGGAGCTTCACCGTCGAAGCATTTATTGACCTCAAAGGCGGCAAAGGGTACTTTACTTCCAGCCTTATTAATTTGTTTTTGGTTAATTTAATAATTTTCCTTTCCCAGAATCAAATCGAGAAGCTTTACAGTGATTACGTTCCAAAAATTATAGATATTGTGTAAATGTTAGGAACCAAAAAACCCACAATGGAAATTAGCATATTGATAAAACGTTTGATGAAAACTATTTATAAAAAAGGATTTGAAGAAGTCAATTTCTAGTTAATTTGGGTTCATTTCTGGGGAATGGTATGTTTGTTAAAAGGAAGAAGTGAGCTTTACTCCTTTTGGTTGTCCAAATTGCAGAATGAGCGCATTCCATGACGTTCAGCTCAAAGTCCGTGATTACGAACTGGATCAGTATGGTGTTGTCAACAATTCTATTTTTGCAAGTTATTGCCAACATGGTGATGAGTCTTAAATTGTTTGGTTCTTTTCTTTATTTTCGGGTTGTATAATTGCTTAATTCAATTATATATTCTTTTCTGAATTGAAGCTGCCCACTGAAATGAATAATTTTGTTGCCAGAATTTGAACATATCCATAAAAATCTTGTAATTTCTGGTGTGTTCAGTTCTATTGATGACATTACTCACTCGGATGCCTTAAAACTTGGCTTTCTTATCTCATTGTTTGCAAAGCATATATAGCTTGTCTATGCAATTGAAAGCCATGCAACACCAGTTTTAATGGACTTAATTGCTAAATTACAAAGTATATGCTCTATAATATACAAAGTATGTTATATATTACGCAAATTAATACCTTCTAAGTAGCAAAGATTCCTAAGGTGTACATAATCTAGCTCGGAAAGCCAGAAGAGGGTGGGTTTATTTTGAATGGTTTCTTCTCTTTCATGTCTAAGAGTAAAGGTAATGACATTGTAGTACTGGAATTTTTCTGTTGGTAGGTCACTGATGAAGTGAATTCTGGAATTTCTGGCAATGGTGGCATTGTTCTTTGCCGTTTACCTTGGCACTTGATTGAGTTATTGCATGTTCGGTGTAGTCTGACTGCCATATCTTGCAGTTTGTGATTTAGACTAATTACTTTTGCTTGGATACTAATCAGCTCGTCACGAACTACTGGAAAATATTGGTGTCAGCTGTGATGGAGTTGCCCGCACTGGTAATTCATTAGCACTGTCGGAGTTGTCACTCAAATTTCTTGCACCTTTAAGGGTATGCACTTTCTTTATATTTGTAATTACTAAATCACTTACCTGTTTATTTATCAACTTATGTGAAAAGAGATGAAACATCATGCTATCTTTCAAATTTCTTTGTTAAATCTTGAATTTCTCAGTTCATAAGTCAAGCGTAGAGCATGAGGATACGTCTATGTCTAAAGCAGTCGATGTGTTAGCTTGGGGATCATTTGGAAGAATAATCCTTTTAAATTCCATTCTAACAGCTGTCGAATTTGAATTGTTCAACCTTAAAAATCTTCTGCACAATTTACTTAAGAATCTTCTGTACAATTGTACTAAAAGCAGTGATAGGACGTATGAGAACTGATTTCTCAGAGGTGTTAAAAGAGTTTTATCCCATAGATTAGAAAATAGATACTTGACAATACAACTCTAGTGCCAAGTTAGATTTGAGTTTGAGGAAGTTGGTGGTATATGAAGATTATGTGTAAATCATTCAAGAATTGGACTTGGCAAAATTGATTAGATATGCTATCTAGTGCCAAATCAGCATGTCTGCTGCAAGTTTTGATAGCATATGGATTTGAATTTGATGAAGTTGGTGCTATGTGCAGATTATGTTTAAATCATTCAAGAATTGAACTTGGCAAAATTGATTAGAAATGCTATCTTGTGCCAAGTCAGCATGTCTGATGCAATTTTTGATAGCATTGCTGGATTTCATTCTTGTGCGCTGAGCCCTTCTGTAATCTTATTTGTGTCTATTTCTCATGTACTTTCTGGTAACCAGAGTGGAGACAAGTTTGTTGTGAAGGTGAGGATTTCTGACTCCTCAGCTGCTCGCATGTACTTTGAGCATTTCATCTTTAAGCTGCCAAATTTAGAGGTTTGTTATCATCAGATCTGCAATTCTTCTTACTTGAGGTCAAGGATTTGTAATTTTATGATGAGGTGTTGTGCAGCCAATTCTGGAGGCAAAGGCCACAGCAGTTTGGCTTGACAAAAATTATCGTCCTGTTCGTATACCTCCAGAGTTCAGATCTAAATTTGTTCAATTCCTTCGCCATGATGATCCCAATTAGCTTATTGCTGCATGCATGATATATGAGAGATTCTTTGATTTGGAAGATGAAGCAAGCCGAGAAGATTATTGATTAGAGACCAATTCTAGTAGATATTTTGTATCCAACTTTTGTCTTTTGATACCTTTTTAAAAAAAAAATAAATAAGAGGAAAGCCAAAGTTAAAGCTTTAACTCTTGCTTGTAGCTCCTTGCAGAAAAGCAAGAAAGGCCTGGAGGATTCTTATTGCTTAAAATTGCATCTCCACATAACTCAGCATAAAATGTTATGCCTATTGTATGCACCTTTCCTTCACAAATATTAAAAGCCAAATGTCCAAGTGGTTTGTGTAGAAGGTAAAAGTGTGCTTGTAATTATAATTGTTTTCTTAAGCCAAATACTTGAGGTATACTGCATTCCTGCATTCTTGTTTCTATGTGACATAGATGAAACTGACATCACGTAACATATTTTTAGATCTATATAGATTTGTATGCCAACTGGCTTAATTGAGTGTTGAGCTTAATAGCATCGAATGCTAGGCCATTGAATGTACTTAAAAGTCAAGCAAAAAACAATTTATGGCACACTTTTAGTTTTATAGAAATTTAAAAAACAAGGGTTTCCAAACTTAATTAATAATTACTTTGTAGAGGATTCTTTTGGTAAAGAGAGAGGACATGCTGTCATAAGTAAAGTGGGATGCACTAGAGACCACAGAGAAGAAGATTAAAACAGTTCTGGAAGTGTTAAATGCTTTGTGGTAGAGGTGAGTTGTCACATCTCATTTTCTAGAGGAATCGTGATTTGCAATAAGACATTGAGAGCAAAATGCAGCAAGTGCACGTTTTGCTTCAAGTAGACAAGTGTAAGTAGAGTGTCGAATTTCCACGAGGATTGTCTTGTGTGGATTCGCACTTATGGTTGAGTCACATTTTTTGTCTAAGTCAATCTCATGAAAAGATTAGAGAATTTTATAGAAAAAATCAATAACAAAAACTTAGGGTTTCTAACTTCCATTGGTTATCTTAAACAACTTGTTAATCAAGAACACTTAATTATCTACATGCACATGTCTATGTCATGTAAACCTATTATTACTAATTGCTTACCATGACAGATAAGAGAAATAATAATAATGCCTTAAGATTAAGTTCCATTAAGCGATTACACATGAGTGGTCACTACCCTTGCTCTCACCCAAGAGTCATCTATTCTACTAATTCATATGTCATTTTCTTTTTAGTTGGATTCCTGAATTCCAATGTCTAGTTTATTAGGATTTGTCTTAAATTTCCCCGTATGGTTCATTAAAGTTAATAATCACCCAATAAATTCCCTTAGATCAGATTCCAAAAGTCCTATTTCTAGTTCATTAAGAATCCCCCTAATTCCCTCCTTAAGGTTTATTAAAGTTACCATGTATCACATTTATAAGTTGAATTAAAAAGAAGCATTGCTAACAGAATTTTCTTTTTTTACCAAAGAGAATTTACTTTACTTAAGCTACTTGACCAAATTCCATTAAAAACCTAGCTAAAATTATTTTGCTACTCATATTTTATTATGAACAGAATTTAAATAATGAAATAAAATAAAGAACATGCTGAAAATTAAAAAGAAAGAAAAAGAATACTTTTAACCTTAATACTGAAATCACCTTATAATTAAGTTAGGCTCGATCAACAAAGTAACAAGATTTCTAGAATTAAAAATCAATTAAAAATCTTATCACTTTACCAATTTCACTAAACTTTAATGAAGCTCCAATGGTAAATTGAAATTGCATAAAAAGATAAAAAAATAAACAAAATTTTATTAATTGAAAAGTGAAAGTGTTAAAAAGAATACGCAAGGAGGTTGAGCCAAAATGTTTTCTCCAAACTTACTCTTTTTTTTGAAGAACTTAAGTTTAAGTGGAAAGTTATCAAAATAAAAGATAGAAACAATGAATGATCTAAAAAAAATAATTGTAGAAAAAAAAAAAAGAGCAAAATTTTTATTAAACTTAAAACTACACTAGTTGAAAATTCAAAGCTAATTTTTGCTACACTAGAAAACTAAGAGAAAGTTTGCTAGAAAAATACAAAGAAACTCAAACTAATATCCTAAAAATAGTAGAAAACAAAGAAGAGAAGGCTTGCTTAAAGAGCTAGACTGGCTAGGTATTTATCGCCAAAACGAGGGAGAGTTTTGGCTTAAGTCTTCCACCCTTAAAATTCGGAATTCAGGTTTTCAGTTCACTCGACCACTTGGGCAGATTTCAAAGCTTCAAAGTGGTCGGCCAGTGCTAGGATGAATTTGTTATGCAATGTGTCCAAGTGCTTCCAAGAATTCAAACTGCAAAAGCTTGAATTTTTCCCTCTTCAATTTTTAAACCATTTCAGCTGAAATTCCCCCTCATTATCTTCATGATTTAGTGCCTTTTTATCGAAAGAAATCAGCTTAAAAATCATCTAAAACCTGGCTTGAAATTTAAACTCTTCCCATTTGCGTTCTTTGATATCCCCAGCAAATCCTCCAGATTTCAAACCCTCTTGGACAGCTTTAAATCGTACAGCCCACCTCTTGCATGGATTTTGCGTGAACTTGTCCAAAAACTGGCTAAAAGGTGATGATTAAGCATGCATGCGGCTTCAGGCAAATTGACCTTTCTTCGGTTTAAAGTTCCTAATTTTTGACTTCCAGTTCGGAATTGAGTGATTCCAAGTCTTACTGAAAGATAACTTGATGATGAACAAATTTGTATCTCACGGTCTTCCTCAGATTCTGATGCTAAGGTAGCCAAATTTGGGCTGGAAGTTGACCCTTGTGCAGGACTTGTATGAAAATTTTAAATTTTAGCCTTATTTTCCTACATAAATTTACAAATTTTCAAATTATTTTACCAAAAAATAGGGTAAAACTGAATTATTTTATTTGAAAACTATGCAAAAATTATATGAATTAAGCTTTAAAAATGCTGTATAAAATATAGTTATATATCAAACCCCTAAACTTAAATTTTTACCAATCCTCTAGCGAAAACAAAAAAAAAAAAAAAACAAGAGAAGCATAGAAGTAGAATGCACTAATTAAGTTATTTTCCTTAGATCCTCAAAGATTGCATAACAAACATATCTAAAGGAAATTCACAACTAATGACAAAACAAAGTAATGCATGCAAAAATAAGTTTCTAAACTGATTGGATTTCTTATATACATGTGTAATGTCTATATCATTCTGGCTTATGCCATCCGAATGAGTTTATGAAACATGAACTTAACAAAGAATCACTAAAGTATGCACACAAAGTCCATAAGTTTGCTTTTCTCATCTCTTTCTACTAATGTAGAATTGTACAAAACTAAAGACCCTTATGACTTTATTAAGCTTGTAATATAAGGCGAGCGTAAAGGTAAAATAAAAGGAAGTTTTAGATTTAAATACCCTAAGCATGCCTTTTGGCTTTTCTTTGAGAGCTTTTCAATACAGTTCCTCTAAACTTATTTTCTTCCTTGTAATAGCACTTTATTCTCCTCCCACTAGTTTTTTTTTTGAAAAGAAATAACTATATTTCAATACTTTCACTTTTCCAGCCTTCCACCCTTGTAAATAATAAGCTCCAAATATTTTCTTGAAAATAGCATGCTTTTGAAAGGGTAATGGACCAGGGAAATTGTTTATTTGGCTAAGATAAATTTATGTAGGTTAAAATAAAGAAATAGGCTTATTAGGGTCAAAATGGGACTAAGGATAATTATTTATAAGGTTGGCTTGAAAAGGCTCAAACAGTCCAAAGATGGCCTATGTCATTTCTAAAGTTATGTGCATTCTAGGATTTTGCTTCGAGAGATGATCAAACAAATTCTAGATTATGATACATGACTTTATGATCAATTCATTATGACATAAACCTTCTCTAAATGTGCATGCCACTTCATGATCTAAACATATGCATTAAGATATAGAAAAATCCAAAAAGAAAAAAAGAAAATGAAAGCCATTTAAGACTTATCACATGCTTGCACACTAATTATGCTTTTCCTAGAGTTATGATCAACTTGACCAAGATATTATCATTGGAGAAGGAAAATTTCGAAGAAAATGCAAGACTACTACATAGCTTAAAACATCCAAAGACCTTTCGTTTTCAAAACTTTGAAATTTTGCTCAGCAAGAAAATATTTTTATCATTCAAGATCAAAATCTTCCATGGGAATGTCATGCACACAAAAATAACATTAAGTGGATCATAATTTTCAAATACTTCTAAGAAAGATTACAATAGTCTCCTCGATAAAGTACCCTACTTTTGTAGTAATTTTCATGAAAGGCTAAAGGAGTCATAAATAGTCTCTCTTCAAACTCAATTTCCTTTGACATAATTACTGAGATGTATAATCACCATACTATTTTTTTGCATACAAACACAGCTATGTACTTAAAAAATTTTCACCTTTTACCCCCAAACTTAAGATGAGCATTATCCTCATTGTAAATATTAAAAATTAAGCAAGAAAATGGAAAAGGTCAAGGAAGATCTCCCATTTTATTGCTTGGCTCTCCTTTATTGCATCCTTATTCTCCATTTATTTTTTTATTCAACCTACAAAAACAAGAAGACAAATAAATGAGAGAAATTAAAATTTCAAAATCAAGATAAAAGGAAAGTGATAAAGTTTAGAATGCTTAAGTTGCCTCATAAGTAATGTTTCTTTAATATCAACGGTTCGACTTCTCTTGACTTTATGAATTAGGGTTTGTAAAAGTGATAGACAATTTTTGTTGATCAGTATCTCCTCCCTAATAATGTTTTAATCTTTGCCTATTGACTTTAAATGGAGTTTGCAAATTCTCATCCATAATTTATATTACTCTATAGGGAAACACTCGGGTAATGGTGAAGGGACTAGATCATCTAGATTTCAACTTTCCTAGATATAGTTTCAAATGATAATTGTATAGCAACACTTCTTTTTTGGGCTCAAATTCTTTATCAAAATTTTCCTCTCATGCCACCCTTTTGTCTTCTCTTTATACAGTTTGGCATTTTCATATGCTTACATTCTAAACTCATTTATCTCATTCAGTTGCAAAAAGTGCTTCTCTCCTATCGCTTTAAAGTTTATATTAAACATTTTTATAGCCCAATATGATATGTGCTCCAATTCAACTAGGAGATGACAAGCTTTTCTAAAGACTATTGATAAG